CTACATTTTTCTCCTTTCTTACTATTATCCTTTAGTTATTTTACATTAATCATTTTGTTTTATACTAATCATTTTATTTTATGATAATCATTTCTTTTCTATTTTTCTCCATATTTCCTATCATTTCTGTCTGTTTTCCCCTGGTTTTTGCCACGTTGGGCTCAGGTGTCTCCATTTTACCTCAGCCTTTTCACTCTACCCTCCATCCCCACCACCTCATCCCCATCTTTCCACTTCCCTCCATCTTCCCGCCTCTCCCTTTGCTTTATCACATAAGTTACTTATATAACGTTCACTTATTATATATATGACCCTCGCAACTGAACGTCCCACGTGTCCTTCTGTCTCATTATTCACCTTTTTCCCTTTGCCTACATTTTGCTCCTTTCTTACTGTTATCCTTTAGTTAGTTTACGTTAATCATTTTGTTTTTATGATAATCATTTCTTTTCTATTTTTCTCCATATTTCCTGTCATTTCTACCCATTTTCTCCTGTTTTTTGCCACACTAGGCCCAGGTGCCTCCATTTTACCTCAGCCTTTTCACTATACCCTCCATCCCCGCCGCCTCATCCTCGTCTTTCCCCCTTTCTCCATTTTCCCATCCCTCCTCTCCCGCCTCAGCCTTTTCCCGCCTTTTCCTCTGCGCATGCGCAAAACCCCCGCCCTTCGCGCAGGCGGCGGGAGGGGTGAGAACCCCTCTCCGTGACGCATGCGCGGAACGTCAGAGCCACCCGCGGCTTTCCGCGCATGCGCCCACGCGGCCGGGGCGGGGGAGGGGGGAGGCGGCAGCGCGTATGCGCGCGCCAACGCGGCGCCCCCCCGCACGCATGCGCCCTGCCTCCGCGCGCCCCTATAGGGCCGGGGGGGTCCCTGTAGGGCTGGGGGAACCTGTGGAGCCCATACGGTCCCGTGAGGAGGTCCCCTATAGGGCCCTGTTGGGCGGGAGGACCCTTATATGGTTTCCTATAGGACCTGGGGGCCCTATTGGGGTGGGGGCCTGTGTGGGGATCCCTATAGGCTCCTCTGAGGAGGTCCTATAGATCCTGGGGGTCCCGTAGGGCCCGGGGGGTACCTATAGGGCTGGGGGAGCCTGTGGAGCCCATACGGTCCCGTGAGGAGGTCCCCTATAGGGCCCTGTTGGGTGGGAGGACCCTTATATGGTTTCCTATAGGACCTGGGGGCCCTACCGGGATGGGGGCCTGTGTGGGGATCCCTATAGGCTCCTCTGAGGAGGTCCTGTAGGGCCCGGGGAACCTATAGAGCCATCAGTTCTTCCCTATGGGTTCTTCCCTATACGGTTCTATGAGGATGTCCCCTATAAAGTCCTGTCGGGGCAGGTGGGAGGACTTCTGTATGGCCCCCTATAGAGCCTGGGGGTCCTATAATGGGGTTGAGGGGCTCCTTATAGGCTCATTCCTATAGGGGAACCCCTATATGGCTGTGTGGGGGCATGCTATAGGCCCCGAGGCCCATATAACACTGGGGAAGGGGGGGAGATCCCTCCCTATATGTTTATTTTTTATATTGCTCTTTGGGGGGGCCAAATAGAGCCTGGGGGTCCTATGGGGCTGTGGGGGGATCCCTATAGGCTCCTCTGAGGGGGTTCTGTAGGGCCTGGGGAACCTATAGAGACCAGAGGTCCTATAGGGCTGTAAGGACTCTCTCTATGGGGACCTCTCCTCCTTCTATAGGGGGTCCTATAGGATAGGGCCTAATGGAGAGGTTTTCTGCTGTATGGCTTTAGGAGAAGGTCATATAGAGCCCTGGTGGTCTTGTTAAAGGGGGGCCTATAGGGCAGTGTGTAGGGGGTGTCTCCCTATGTGATCCTATGAGGGATCCTATAGAGTCAGGGGCCCCTCCATATAGGTCCTTGTTAAAGAAACAAGGGAGCAGCTTCCCCCCCACCCCCCTTATAGCCCCTATAGAGCCCAGGGGATGAGGGGGGGGGTCTCTTCTCCTATATGTCCCTATGAGAGGGGCCCTGTAGAACCCTTGAAACGTGGGATTATCTCTATAGGGTGCTGCAAGGGGACCCTATAGAGCCTGCAGGATCCCCTTGTGTGAGGGGGAGGGCCCTATAGAACCTGGGGGCCTTCTGAGCCCCATATAGAGCCCTTGGGATACATAATATATATAATCTATATATGTAATATATATATGTAATATATAATATATAATATAATATTAATATATATATGTATAATATATATATATATGTGCATATATAATTTATATAACTTGGGGGGCGACTTTAAGTGCATATCCGTATATCCCGGAGACCCTATATTGCCCCCATCCAAAAAAGAAGCCCTTAAAACATTCCCTATGTAGACTCAGGGTTATATATGTATAAATGTATATATACATACACATATATGTATAAAAACATGTGAGTAATGTATTTTTACATATATGTTTATATATGTTTTGTGTATGTTTTTATATACATTTATATATGTATAAAATCGTGGACTTTTCGCCCATGGAAAATATGTTTATTTGCATATTTATTTATGGGATTTTTTGGACCTTTTTTAAGGTTCTTTTTTAATCCGGGAAATCCCACCGCGTTTCCTTGAATTCCCCTCTTCCGCTTCCCAGCTTCCCTCTCATCCCTGCGCTTTTCCATACTTTTCAGCATAGGGAACATTCCTACTGCTCTGATAAAAGCAGCTCATCCCAATTGCTGGAATTGACCTCAAATCGCTCTATATTTTGGGAATTTAGAGAAAATTATGGAGTTTTTTTTCTTTCCAGGCGGAATTCCTTTTTTGCCTTTTCTTTCCGGTGGGATTCCAGCCACGAAATCCCACTCTCCGCCTTTGGAAAGCCTGGAGGAATTTTCCAAACGTCTTTAATTCCTCGTGTGCTTTTTCTGTGGATTTTCCACTATAATAATGGGAAACTATCATGGAATGCCCCCTTTTTTTTCCCTTTTTCCTTGGATTTTGAAATCCTTTGGATTGCCAAACCTCTTCTGGCTTTGTCCAGAGAAGCCAATTCCCCCTTTTCTCCCTGCTAGAATCCTGCAGTTTGCCGGAACTAATCGGGAAAATTATGGGGAAGTTTTAGGGAAGTGAGTTTTCCGGAGAAAGCGAGCAGCTCCAGGAGGGATCCGCTGCTCCGAACTTCAGGAATTTTAGCGGTTTCTTCATCCAAGCCTGGTCTTTGGGCTCCCTCTGCCGTCTCTGGAGGGAAAAAATCCATTTCAGGATGTTCTTCCCGGAAAATTGCTACTTCCCTTTGGGAACCATCCCGGGATGTCGGATGCTGCTTTTTTGGGAGCTCGGAGCCAGGCTGGGATATTTTTTTCTCCTATGTGAAAGGTGCCGGTGGCAGTTTCCGACTCCTGGACTTCCCAAACTGGGAATTGCTTGTTGCAGCGCTTCCAACAGATGGGAATTCCCCAAATCCCAGGAATTCCCTCTTTATTTTTACCCAATTCGGGATAACGGTGGGGAAAACAAGGTCAAAACCCCTCAGCTTCCCATTGGAAAAGGCCACGGCATCGCCCCTTAGCATGGAGACCCTCCGGAGCTCTCTGCGCTTCCGGACAGGAGCAGAGCCACATCCCGCTTCCCATCCCGCTTCCCTCCCCGCTTCCCTCCCCGCTTCCCTCCCCGCTTCCCTCCCCGCTTCCCTCCCCGCTTCCCTCCCCGCTTCCCTCCCCGCTTCCCTCCCCGCTTCCCTCCCCGCTTCCCTCCCCGCTTCCCTCCCCGCTTCCCTCCCCGCTTCCCTCCCCGCTTCCCTCCCCGCTTCCCTCCCCGCTTCCCTCCCCGCTTCCCTCCCCGCTTCCCTCCCCGCTTCCCTCCCCGCTTCCCTCCCCGCTTCCCTCCCCGCTTCCCTCCCCGCTTCCCTCCCCGCTTCCCTCCCCGCTTCCCTCCCCGCTTCCCTCCCCGCTTCCCTCCCCGCTTCCCTCCCCGCTTCCCTCCCCGCTTCCCTCCCCGCTTCCCTCCCCGCTTCCCTCCCCGCTTCCCTCCCCGCTTCCCTCCCCGCTTCCCTCCCCGCTTCCCTCCCCGCTTCCCTCCCCGCTTCCCTCCCCGCTTCCCTCCCCGCTTCCCTCCCCGCTTCCCTCCCCGCTTCCCTCCCCGCTTCCCTCCCCGCTTCCCTCCCCGCTTCCCTCCCCGCTTCCCTCCCCGCTTCCCTCCCCGCTTCCCTCCCCGCTTCCCTCCCCGCTTCCCTCCCCGCTTCCCTCCCCGCTTCCCTCCCCGCTTCCCTCCCCGCTTCCCTCCCCGCTTCCCTCCCCGCTTCCCTCCCCGCTTCCCTCCCCGCTTCCCTCCCCGCTTCCCTCCCCGCTTCCCTCCCCGCTTCCCTCCCCGCTTCCCTCCCCGCTTCCCTCCCCGCTTCCCTCCCCGCTTCCCTCCCCGCTTCCCTCCCCGCTTCCCTCCCCGCTTCCCTCCCCGCTTCCCTCCCCGCTTCCCTCCCCGCTTCCCTCCCCGCTTCCCTCCCCGCTTCCCTCCCCGCTTCCCTCCCCGCTTCCCTCCCCGCTTCCCTCCCCGCTTCCCTCCCCGCTTCCCTCCCCGCTTCCCTCCCCGCTTCCCTCCCCGCTTCCCTCCCCGCTTCCCTCCCCGCTTCCCTCCCCGCTTCCCTCCCCGCTTCCCTCCCCGCTTCCCTCCCCGCTTCCCTCCCCGCTTCCCTCCCCGCTTCCCTCCCCGCTTCCCTCCCCGCTTCCCTCCCCGCTTCCCTCCCCGCTTCCCTCCCCGCTTCCCTCCCCGCTTCCCTCCCCGCTTCCCTCCCCGCTTCCCTCCCCGCTTCCCTCCCCGCTTCCCTCCCCGCTTCCCTCCCCGCTTCCCTCCCCACTTCCCACCCCTTTTCCCACCCCGCTTCCCATCCCGCCTCCCTCCCTGCTTCCCGCTTCCCATTCCTCTTCCCATCCCTCTTCCCACCCCGGAGCCGCCTCCGTGATGCTGCCGGCTGGGCTGGCAGAGCAGCAGGAAGCGAGGCCAAGGCGCCCCTTCGGCATTCCCGGCGGCATTCCCGCTTTCCCTTGCAGCCTGGGCGAGCAGTACTACCGGGATGCCATGGAACAGTGTCACAGCTACAACGCGCGCCTGTGCGCGGAGCGCAGCGTCCGCCTGCCCTTCCTGGATTCCCAAACCGGAGTCGCCCAGAGCAACTGCTACATCTGGATGGAAAAGCGGCACCGCGGGCCAGGTAGCGCGGCCTTCCCGCCGGGAAGAGCCCCCGATTCCCGCTTTTCCCGTTTTACCATCCCTTTCCCCCCCAGGTTTGGCCGCCGGGCAGCTGTATTCCTACCCGGCACGCCGCTGGCGGAAAAAACGCCGCGCGCATCCGCCGGAAGATCCGCGCCTTTCCTTCCCGTCCATTAAACCAGGTAAATCCCGCCCGTTCCCGCTTTTCGGCACTTTTCCATGCTTTTTTCCATTCCTGGATTGAGCCGGCTGCTTCCAGAGAAGCTGCTTGATTAGGAAGCCCATAAACGCAGGGAGAACAGCTTGGGAATGCAGCCGGGATAAGCGCGCTCCGACGGGAGGCCGGAGCGCTGCCGTTTTTCCCGGAGCGCTGCTGTTTTTCAAAAAAAACTGCTGATCCCGTTTTTTTTTCCCCGGCAGATTCCGACCAGGCGCTGAAGAAGGAAGGGTTGATGTCGCAGGATGGGAGCAGCTTGGAAGCGCTGCTCCGGACCGATCCCTTGGAAAAACGGGCCCTGCCGGATCCGCGCCTTGACGACGACAGCCTGGGAGAATTCCCAGTCACCAACAGCCGGGCGCGGAAGGTGCGGGAATTTCGTAAACCCTGGAAATTCCCAACTTGATAAATTCATTAAAAAACACCCGCTCCATTCCCGTTTTTCCCCCTCTTTTTCCCGGCAGCCGGAATGAGGATTCTCACTCTCCTTTTCCATTGGCGGATGTTGAATCCCTGCCTGGCATGACCCCGGCTCCGGGATTTTCAGGAATTCCCTGTAAAAAGAGGCTCCCGTTTCCCTCTTTTCACCAGGAGCTAAAGGACTCCAGTCTGGAAGCCCTAATTTACCCTGATTTAACCCAATTCCAAAGCTCCTTTTCCTTGGAAAACAAGGCACTTCTGAGCCCCACAGCCGGATTCAGCATTATCCAAGATGGAAGCAACGGAAAAGCTTCCCAACCTTTGGCCTTAGCTTCATTTTTGCCATAAAAGCTGATTTTTTTCTTTTCCCGGCTCCTTTTTTGCTTAATAAACCCTTTTTGCTTCCCGAAACACCCCCTGGACACGTGCTCCGGGTCGGGAATCATTGGCTTAGCGGATCAAAGGCCGTCTTGGTCCGGATGAGCCTCGGTCCGGGTTGGAAAAGGGACGTTCCGGGTCACGGAAATCTCTTTTTTTTAATTTTCCTGGCGAGTTGGGTTGTTTTTCCCAGCGCTTTCTCGCCTCTGGCCCCATTTCCATGTGTTCTCCCCTCATTCCTGGGCTCTTTCCCGGTGCTTTTCAGCATGATGAGTTTTTCCCAGTCTTCCTGGCGCTTGTTGCTGCTTCCAGGATCCGCCGGGATAATCTCAGGAGATTGAATTACTTCCCTACAGCTTTCCCAGAACATAAAATCCTCTGGGAAAGCAACCGCCGCCTCTTATTTCTGCCTGGAAAAGAAGGGGAATTAACAGGTGCCGGATTCCCTATTTTTGAGGAATAAGAGGCACCAAGTTGTCTTTTTCTCCCCCCAAATTTCTGCTTTTCCCCCAAATTTCCGTCCTCTTCCTTGCACGCTCCGGGTTGGATGCGGTGGCTGGACCGAGGCGCGCTGAGGGATCTTCCCCCTCGTTTTCCGTGCCCTTCATCCCGCTTTTCCCTTTTTCCCAGCGGATTCTGGAGCCGGATGATTTCCTGGATGATCTGGATGATGAAGACTACGAGGAAGACACGCCGAAGCGGCGAGGGAAGGGGAAGGCCAAGGTGAGGGCGGCGTTCCGGACGGATGGAGAGACCGGATTGGGCCATAGGATCCCATTGATGATCCCAAACCATTCGGGCAACGCAATTCCGAACGGTTTGGGCAATAGGATCCCAAAAATCCACTCGCGATCCCAAACAATCCGGACAATCCCGACTCCAAACTCCGTCCGTTTGCCACCATTCCCGGCTCTTTTCCTGCCGTTTGGGGCCGTAGCCGCTAAGGGGCAGCGTCAGCTCACGCGTTTTCCCATGCCGGATCCTCGGAATGCCGGCGCTTCCATCCTCTCCTTTCCGTCCCGCTCCGCAGGGCAAAGGTGTCGGAGGGGCTCGGAAGAAACTGGACGCAGCCATTTTGGAAGACCGGGATAAACCCTACGCTTGCGACAGTGAGTATGGAATTTTCTGGGAAGTCGGGAATTTTCTGGAAAAAAGGGAGCGTTTGCCTTCCGGGGAGGGAGGAGGGGGTTTTTTTGGATCCCTTCGGACCCGCAGCCCTGCCCTGATGCTTCCCAGTCGCTTGGGGTTTTTCCCAAAGGGAAACATGTCCTGTCCTCCCCAGCAGCGTCATTCCAACTGGGAGAAGGATACGGAGTGCTCGGAAATGGGGAAAACACTGAATTTTCTTCCCCTTTTCCGACCTGCAAATCCCAGCATGGAACACGGCCCCGGTCCGCAGTCCGAATCCCACTGACACCATTCCCTAAATTCCCAATGGTCTTCGCAGGCCGGAAATGTCACCCTGTCCCTTCCCAGCTGTTCCGGAGCCCTTTTCCATCCCAGCTTCCCGCATCCCAAGGAGTTTTTCTCCGGAGCAAGCGGAGCAATCCGCTATCCCAGCTCTGCTTGGGATCCCATCCGGAGGCTGATGTTTCCCTTGCTCCAGGGAAAACCCGGCTCCGGGCCGGCACAGGATGGGGATGGAGCTCGGGGCCTTTCCGGATATTCCTCCGGGATTGTCCCGGTTTGCTCCCGGCACGGCTCCTGCTCTCCCTAACCCCTATTCCGGAGTTAAATCCCGCAATTCCGGCCCTTCCCGGTGCCTCCATCCCTGCGGGCGCCAGGCCTGGATTCCCCCCCGTTACTTCCTCCCTTTCCCCCACCTTCCTCCTCGCTGCCAAAATTCAGCACGAGGAGGGAAAAACACCCCAAATTCCCCCAAAACCCCCATTTCCACGGAGACGGTCCCAAAAAGCCCCAAGCGGAGCCTCTAAATCCACTTTTCTCTCTCCTTCCTCCTCTCCTATCGGAGCCGCTGCTATTTCCACCCAAAATTCCCCCTTTTCTCCCCAAATTGCTTATTTTTTCCTCCCGATGCTTCCACCCAAAATTCCCCCCTTTTCCACCCAAAATCGCGTCTTTTTTTTTTCCCCCCTCTCCCTTCTTCCCTCTT